TAAAAATGTCAGTGATTGCAATAATGCCAACCTGAAACTTTAAATTATCATAGCAGACGATTTGTTAAATAAGAGTGGCAGACTTCATTTCACTGTGGAGATAAAAAATATTTTATAGTACGATTTATTTAATAAGCATAGATTGATATATAAGGTCTTCGACGGCGTCAAAAAAAATCGTCAACTTTGGAGTTCAATTGGCAGAATAATTTTATGGTCAATCCAAAACAGTTAGTTGTCTGCTATTTCTAAACAAGCCTCTATTTAAATTTTTCAGATAATTTTTCTAGAATAATGTGTAGTTAATAAACTTGCGATTTAAAAAGTCAACTAGTTGCTATGCATAATATTTTTAGTTTTCTATTTTTTTCTGAAAGTCTCACAATTTTGCCAATTTTTTTTCCTTCATTAAAAAGTTCACTAAATATTGTTTTCCTAGTATCGTTAATAATTTTTTTTATCTTATTGCTTTATATTATAGACAAGGAGAAAGGAAGCAAGAACATTATTACTTTTTTTCTAAACCCTCAAAATAATACACATAACAGTAAAGGAATAAAGTAACATTTCACCTATGTAAGGGTATACAGTTTTATTAGAAGGGTATACAGTTTTACTAGCTGCTTTTGGCGACTAACTTGGTCAGCTTTCAAAATTATCATGTACAACATACAATCTTTAATGGTTACCAAGCCGAATGCATAGCACAACTAAACATTCTAATTCGTTAACCCCTTTTTCAAACGAAATACCTTAATTAGCTTTAAAAATATATCAACCCAATTATTTCATATTCTAGCTGTCTTCCGCTCCTTTTTTGGGCAGAAATACCTTGATTTTTATGTTAAATATTTTCAAACGATTATTGTCGAAGTATTGAACTTTAGTAAAAATTTTAAATCTGTCTGGCAGCTACTTAATCACGATAAGTAGGAGTTCGAGATATTTCAGCACAGAAGGTACCATAAGTATTAAAATTATTATACATCTCTGTAGTTATACAGTAGAAATCTCATCCTAATGCTCCATTACCTGCTGTACTATTTCCTCACGCACCTCTCGATCCATAACTTGAGTATCGTATATATTTATATATACTATTGCTCGAAAAAAGCAAGCTTCGTCATCAATAATTAGTAGACAGTATGGCCCCTGAGAGCACCGTTTATGAAAATTTCTACAGCTATTTCAAAAAGGATAAAAAAAAATCTACAATTACTTTGTAACTAAGGTTTTATTTCTATAAAAATACGAAATTATTTTAAATATACACTTAGCATATAATTATTCAATGCTATTTAAATTACGACTTAAGAAAATTCAACAAAACTAATCGAAATAAATGCTTTATGTATAACTAATTATTTAACAGTACTTAAATTATTACTTAGGACAGTGTTTGAGTTTTATGTACCAAACTTATGAGTTTTGTGTACCCTTTCTAAATTTTTCGAAACGCTGTGTATGTACCACTAATAAAAAAAATAATGTATTTTTTACTATGAAAAAATTGCACAAAAGTTAAAAATCACAACTGGCTGTTGACACCACTAATTATCAACTGTTAACTCTGCAGAAAGTAGCCAATATAAAAATACGTAATCGCAAATTTTCATGGGTAGCTTTGTTTTTAAATAAAATTTTTTGAAATTTTCGTTTGTTATTAGATATTTCGCATAAGGACGCGTACCCCTGCGAAGCGGTTCCCATACCCCTGGGGGTACGCATACCACACTTTGGGAAACATTGACTTCGGACATTATTGTGTTGTAAATAGATAGAATAATACCAGAGTTTATGGTGCCACATGCGAGAAATATATATGTAGATTATTAAACAATATTTGTTTGTTTGTTTGTTTTATGTAACACTAGAGCAGCACAATGGGTTATCGGCAATGGTCTGGGAAACATCCCAGCGGATGATCCGAAGACATGTCATCACACTTTGATCCTCTGCAAAGGGAATGCCTGAGCACTAAGTCAAGCACTTCACGATAGAACAGCTTAACGAGTGCCGATACCCCAAAATGAACATAGCCAGTGATTCTTGACTTCTGTGTTCTATTGGGAACCGTGTCCTAACAATCTGACCACTGCAGGACTTAAACAATATCGATGGATTGATTAACAAAACCATTTTATTTTGTTAACGATGTTCTAAATAGCAAAAGTAGATAATAGCTTTAATTATTTAATGATTAAATTACAGTTTGTAACTATAATATAAATATGCTTGTAAATATAAAATGATAATAAATGTTGCTATATAAAATTGTTTCAATTATTTATTTTAAAAGATACTATGCATTAAATTTGATTTTTTAGAATGATTCAAAAAAAATTAATTTATGTATTATAAATAATTATTAATATAAAATAATTATTAATATAAAATAATAATATAATAATTATAGTTATTTATTTCAAGATTCTATGTCTGAAATAATATAGTCTCTGAACTTGCTACTGTTTAGCAAATACCGATTTTTAATCAATATGTTTTCTGTAAAATATAGATTGATAAAATTATGAATTTTTTTTTAAAACATCTTTCAGATAAAAAATAATAAAGAAAGAAAGATAACGGACGAAGTGCAGCTTTTTTTCTTATATTGTTATTTAAAAGCTAAGTTTGGACAAATTACATAAAATAATTTTTAAAATTTTATTCTTTTTTTTCTTCTTTTCTTTGAGTACTTTCTTTGTGATGAAGGCATTTTTTTAGAAATAGAATGTTTTCACATAAAGTGATGGAAAGGTGCAAGCACTAAAAATTGTATTGGAACAATTATTGGTTTTGCATCATTAATTTGAAAGAGTTGTTCTGTTATCTGATATAAATGATGCAATTTAAGCAATTGTCTCTCGACTCCTATGCTAACTGGAATTATCAAGTTTCGACTGTCAATACAAAGTCTACTGAAGAAAAACCGACAATTAAATTACAATGGATGCATGAACACAGTGGTAAAAAAAATGAAAAGATTCCTTGTGAGAAAAGATGTGACGTTGCTACTGCAACAAACAAAACCAAATATGCAATTTCATTCAGCAAAACCATACATTTTTAAGTATTAGGAGGCTTCACCCACTGTTCACACTGCACAACAACTTCCATGAGTGCTTCACATATCACATTCACACATCATTGTTTTCCCCATAATATCAATATTTGCTACAAATAAAGTTCTAGTAATTAAGTAATAAAAATTTCGTTAATAAAATTTTTTAACAAAATATTTGCCCATTCCAATTTTTATTTCAAATCGTTCATATTTTACTACCAATGATGATAGTTTTTGTCAGAATTCAAACTTAATTTCTTCATTAATTGCAGCTTGAATTTCTGTATCAATTTTTTAAAAAAAAAAAAAAAATGTATNGCATTAAAAACCTTTTTTTCTATATTGTTTTAGTTGTTTCGATTTTAAATTTTGTTACTGAATAAAATAAGTCAAATTAGAACGTTGTTTGAGTAAAGTAATTATTTTACAGAAATTATTTGTTAACATTTTAGTATATTTCAATGCATTTATCAATTTAAAAAAAAAAAAAAAATTGAGATGCATGCTTAAATGTTAAATTGGCTTAAGTTACAGATCAATTTTTTATGTATAATTTCATTCTGCAAAAAAAAAAAAAAAAAAAAAAAACATTCGCGACACTCAACACATTTTAGTTAGTACACATAACTATCAAAAAAATTTTTCTTAAATAACATGAAAAATAACAGTTGTATTAAATTTTTGCAATTTTATAACAACCCATTCTTTCTTTTACTTTTAACTTCATCAAAGAGCGAGCTTATATAAAATAAAATCTTCAGAGATTAATTTTTTTACTAGCGACAAAAGATGTATGATCATTGTTTAAAGTAAAACACGTGAAAAAAACAGAGAAAGAAAACACTTTAAATTGCAATAACTTTTAAACAAATTTCTTCAATCTAAAATTTCACAGAATTTATGAAATTTATACATTTTTTTCTTCTTTTTATGAATTAGAATGTCAAGATAGAAACACACAATATGAGAAAATTGATTTTAAGTCCCCTGGGATAGTAAATGCCTTTGAGAAACATTTAAGCAATTTTGAAAAAAACAACAACAGGATATTTGAAATATATGTATTTAATTCCTCTCCAAATTGATTTTGATACTGTCTCATATAATCTTCGAATGAACTATCGGACTTACAATAAAAATGAATTTTTCAAACATTAGAATCAAAAATCAATTTTTAGAACACTTACAAAACAAATTTTAAAAAAATTAAAATTGGGAAAATAGGCATTTAATGAATAATACAAAAAGTAACAAATTATAAATTGAGCTAAAAGATAGCATCTTTTGGTTCAATTTACTATTTACTGCTGCAAATCTTTTTATTCCCAAAAATTAGATCATGAGCATCTTTATTTGATTAAAACATTCAACATCAGAAGTAATTTGAAAATATCAGCATATTAATATTGCCTTAATTAAGTGAAAGAAAAGATAAACAAACATAGAACACTAATTAAAGTAAACAAAGTAAATATTTCATTTTATTTATTAATTTATGCGTTTACTTTAACTATTTTTTTATATGTAGTCGCACATTTTAAATTGCTTCATAATAATGATGTATTCTAGATTAAATTTACACGGTATCTATTGTAATATTGATAGGTACATAAAGATGAATATTTAATACATGATGAATAATGTATGCATTGATAAACATAAAAAAAGTTTTAAAAATAAATTAGTTTTAAATTTGAATATTTTCTTATATACGTGTATATACATATTTTTTTGTTGGGGGGAGGGTAAAGTCTATTTTTTAAATAGCCTACAATGTCTTTTGGTTGGTCAGATCAAAATAAGAAAGTACAAAATCGCACAAAACTTAGCAAATACTAAATAATAACACACTCTTTGGGTTATCAATGAGTATTAGTGAGAGAGAATTAAAGGAAAGGTATGAAAAATGTAAGATCAATAAAAATATCAGAAATAAAAAAAAAATGAGAGTTTATTTATAAATAAAATTACAAATTTAAAAGAAAAATGTGTAATGATTCTTTCATGATTATCTACATTTGAATTTTGATGTAAACAGCAGATTGAAGTTAGTCCATATTATCTTTCCAGCCATAGTAGTCTACTGAAAGTAAAAATTAACTGAATAAGTGATACTTTAAAAACTTCAATGACCATTAAAATTCTTTCAGATTTAAAGGGCTCATTTTGCACATTAAAAGAAAAAAAAACTTTTACATATGCTTGTACTTGAATTGCTAAGTTTAAATCAGAAATCAAACTGCTTAAAAAATTTTTTTGTTCATAAGTCTCATCATGCAGGCCCTGAAATAAAGTATCAATGAAATTCGATAAATCAATAAATTCATTTCCAGTTCAATGAATTTTAATTATTTTTGTTGGCATGTCGCACTTCCTTTATAAGAACAAGAGATGAAGGCAAAAATAAATGATTTAAAACAAATAAAGAAAGCCTGTTGGTTGTTGATTTGTCACCAAACAAGTCTGAAGAAACATTGAAATTTATTTTTCAATTATTTTTAAACAGTCAATTGCTAAACATTATCAATCAGTAAACAGAAATAAAAAAATGCATTTTTCAAAGAGTAGTGATATGATTGAAAAAAATCTTCTAAGAAAAAATCGAACATAGGTTTTTATTTCTAATTCTACTAATGATAATAAGATTGATTTTTAATAATTAGAGTTATTGAAAACTTTATTTTATTTTATTTACTTACTTTTGTCCCTTTTCAAGTTTGAAGCATTGAAATTTGACTAATTTATTTTATAACCGTCGTTGAACAGCCAACCATATTTTTAGTTTAGGGCTACCAATGTTCAACTCCATAGCTTTTTAATTTTGATCCCAGAAGACAAGTGAAGTTCAGGATCAAGTATACTAAGAAAAATTTGCCTTTGTAGAGGACTTTTTGATGAAACTAACCGGCATTTGAGTTACATAAAGACAGAAACCATGAAAAACTCCAATGGTTAGCCTGACAACAAGGGGACTCTAACCCATGATTTGTCTACCACTGAGAATATTTTAAGTAAGTACTGTGGGCAGTGCTATCGGGGTGCAGAAGTCATATCAATCAGCCACCGCTGGGATTCTAATCCGGTTCACTTCACTGTAAGGCGAAACTCTATCTTCTGAGCCACCACGGCTCAGCGTTTGACTATTTTATATTATAATCTTTTTTTGAACAGCCTGTCCAAATTTGAGAAGGTTTGACAATTGTATATAGAAGTCAACATTAGTAATAAATGAAAATTAACATCTTCATTTCTTAATCATAAAAACACAAGTATTTTTATATGCCAATGTCATTTACAGCCAAAATATGAACTTTTATGAACTCTTTTCAATGCTATGCCTTGTTTTAGAATAAATATTGCATGCAGTTGACAATTTGTTACAAAATTGAGAAGTTAAAATATGATTTTTACAACAAATAAAAACAGAAATTTTAAACTGACACTAAAACAAATAAGAAGTTTATAATTTATAAAACAGTTACCTTTCTGAAATGCGTTTGTGTGTAGTTTTTTATAAAAATACAAAAAATTTAACACACTAGAAAAACCATTTTCAACAAAAATATAACTACTCAATAATTCACTAAAATTTTTATAGCAGTCTTTAAGCTGTTAAATGAAAAAATAATTTTAAATAAAAATCATTTAGATCAAAATTGAAACTACAACAAAACTCAATGCTTTAGTTAAATGTTTTGCTATGTTGGGAAGAGAAAAGTATGTTAAAACTGTCCGCACATTTAAACATCCTTAACCTATTTATTTCAATCAATATTGTTAAACAAATATTTATAATATAGATATTTATAATATTTCTAACATGGATAGTTCTGCTAAAGCAACAAACTAAGTCAAGACCAGTTATTTTTCTCAGCTATAGAAAGATAAACATTATTTATATCAAGATATGTAAAAATATATAGCATCAATATAAAGGCAAAAATTTTTAATCATGTAGCTGAAAAATATTTTGCACTATTATTTTAATTTTGCACGAAATATTTAACAGAAAGTGGCAGGTTGAATTATTTTATTCCTTTTATTTAGATACCAATTGGCCCTGTTTTTTAGTCTTTTCTGTTTACGAAAAGGTTACACTAATAACATAGGCTAGTGTTATAAATTCAAAATAATTGCTATGACAAAGTAATATTTTATAATCTATAATAACTTTTCAAATTGATATTCATTTGAACTTAACATAATTATAATATTATATGTATAAAAAGAATAAATTTGTTGCCTTTGCTTTATACTTATCCAGTTAAAAAGAAAGAAGTGATAGAAGTTTGATTTAAGCAACTGTGACTTACCATATCTTCATGGTACATTTTAAAATCATTAAGCCTTTTTATACCATTTTCATCATTTTTAACTTGAAAGAAATGTCTCAGTTCCTCAATACAAGCTTGAGCATTAAGTAATGTTTCAACTTTTGGTTCAGTTGGTTTCAATCAATAGGTTTACCATCCCTAACACATCCCCATCACTTGATAAGAAATTTGACAATACCTTTCTGAAGGTAAGTCTCAAGTGATGCATAGAAAAAAAGAACAAGGCAATATCTACCTGTAAGACACTATGCTCTAAGGAGTTATTATACTCACAATCGATTATTTGTCATGCATGAGTCAAAATATACGCTTGATTTATATGAATACCTCTTTCACTAACTAACTTTTTTTTAACTCAGCTGTGTAATGAATGTCTAGGGGTCAAATTGATTAAAAGCAAAAGTAATTTTAAGTGGGGAAGGGATATTGAGAGCATTTTAATGAGTCATTTCCACCTGTGGGATCTCATAATCTATGTCTCATAATAATGGGGTCTCATAACCATTTTCTCTCCCTCCTTTGCAAATATAAAATAAGGTGACAGAAGAATGATTGATTCTTTGGAACTGGAATATAGCTATATTTTTAATCATGGATAAGTCAAAAAACTAAATGTTTTCAAAAACAGTGGAAAGAAGCAAATTTATTTTAGTATTTTAAATATAAAGTTTCCTTTTAACGTCGAATTTAAAATAGCGATTAAAAATAACGTTTTGAAGCATAAACGATTGTCCACTTCCAGTTATATTCATAAAAAATTCATGGGGAATTAAAAACATGTCCATAATGAGAGGCATCATTTTTGTAAGAGTGTCCATAACATTAGGTTTTACTGCATCAATAAATAAATATTTTTATTTATTTATTTTTTTAAAGATATCCTACCTGTATCAGATTTGATAATCTAATAATATTACAATAATAAAACACAATATAACATGATAATGATAAAACAAGATTTCATAACATTTATAAATTTTTAGAAGCTTCGGAAATTTTGCAATTTATTTAAATTTACCTATTTTTATTTCTTTATTTATTTTCATTATTCTAGAGTTTTAACTTTATATATAAATGTATTTTCAAAGTACCATTCAAAGAGATCTTGCTTTTCTTCTAACGACATGTAACTTTCAAGGACAAAAAAAGGATAGAATAAAAAATTTTAAAAAATCTCACCTTTTTCCTTTTTGTTGCTATGCTTTGATCTATGAGAAGGTTTATTTTCTGAATTAGAATTTGTACGGTGTTGTCGGGACTTCCCAACTTTCTTAGTTTGCTGATTTACTTTGTCCTTTGATTTTGAACTTAATAAAGGATGTATTTCTGAAAAAGAAATTGCACATGTTCTATAGCAATGCTTTTCAACATTTTTTTGTCTCACAACTCTCTAATAATAATAAATAAAGAAAAAAGGAAAACTTCACAACCTCTTGCCAAAAACTGCTTAGGGATAAAAAATTGGAAGAATTTGTTGAAATTTAAGAGCTTGTAAGTAAGGGCTATCATTTAATATAAATTTACATATTATACCTTACACAAGTTACAGTTAGCCAGTCAAAATGAATACAGAGGATTGATCAAAGAATTTTTTAAATTATTAATTTATTTAATTACATATTAACTTCATTAAAAATGCTTTTCTCCTAGTGTGGCATTAAGAACTAAATAAAGAAATCATCTACCACAGCTTCAAAGCAATTTTGTTTCTTTAATTAAATATACAGTACACTCTCGATTATCCGGTTTGCGGATTATCCATGCTCATTCCGGAGTCACACAAAAAATATAAAGAGAAACATTTTCAAGATTAAAAAAATTTGATTCATGAAGCTATAACACTACCAAATTTTTGGAAAGCAATATTCGTTATTGGATTGCAGCATATGGAACAAATCGTCTACGTTATGGATGATATGGAAAATCGTCTACGTTATCACGATCGTGGAGAAATATGATACCACTTGATGAACAATCCTCTTCAGATGTTCAAGAAAAATATGATAACAGTATTCTCGAACAAGCAAAAGAAATCTAAGGTTTCGAAATTCTTGATGAAGAAAATTTAGAAGATTGGTTTCAAAGTGATGCATGTGAGCCTGACTTACAGTATTTGACTGATGAAGACATTGTTATGTTGTTAAATCAAATAATGATGATAGTAACTGAACATGTAGTAAATGAGCAGAACATGTAGTAAATGAATGAAATACAATTTCTCATTCTGCTGCTCTGTGGAAACTTTATTAGATTATATGGGAGGATTTGATTACGGTGACATTACTGCGGTTCGTAAAATATGTGCATCAATATATGGCGAAGACGCATTACACATTTTTTAATAAGGAAAATTCCTAATTTGATGTTATGCGTGCAAATGTCAGTAATTTTTAGATTTTCTGTACTGATATTGAATTTTTCATTAATAAAAGGAGTTTTCGGATTATCCGTGTTTTGATTGTCCGTGCGACCTGTCCCGGTGATTAACCCGGATAATCGGGAGCGCACTGTAATTAAAAAATAATAAATGTAATGGCCTTTATTTTAAATCAACATGAAATTAATAATTTCAACTAACTAAGTGTAAATAATAATTAAACACAAAGGCAAATTTATATAGAAATAATTTCAACCATTTTGTCGTGGAAAAGGAAATTACGTGGGTAAAAAGAAAATTACAGACAAAGATTTCATAAAACATTTATCAATAAATTGAAATAAATGCTTTAAGCGATTTTGGACAGTATTTGTCTTACATTAGTTAATATTTTACCCCTTAGATATGCTACTGTTTATCAAAGCTACTGTTACTGTTTATCGATATGATACTGTTTTTCATAATAATAAATATATTACTATAACTTATTTTTATCTATCCATAATTTAATGAAAAATCATAATATAAATTACTCATTAGAACCTAAAACTATTAATTCTTTAATATAGTTTCCAAAAAATAATAGTCTCTGATATTCTAACCAAAATTTATTTCAATAAATTATTACATTTAATTTTCCTAGACAAATATTTTAGTAGTTATAGATGCCTATATAAATTTATCGACTTAATAATTATTAATTTTCTATATATATTTATTAACAAATCATAGACAATATAAATTCTTGAAGAAAATTAAAGGTCCATTCTCTTAATTTGTGCACAATTGACTACTGCAGTAGACTAGCATAATAATTAATAGAAATTTTAAAAGATGCATAGTTACCATCTTTTGGTGCATTTTCAAGGATCATATCAACTACTTTAGTACGTTTCTTTTTAGATGCATTTTGATCATTAGTTGACCTTTTAGAAGGAGCATCTTCTGCCTAAAAAATTATAAATCAGATAAAAGTAATTATAAAAAAGCCTTAATTAATTACCATCAATTAAATGATAATGAAATAATTAGAATATATGTAAGCAATGAAATTTAAAAATCACAGTAAAACAAAACACAAATCCACAAAAATGCAAAAAAAAAAAAAAAAAAAAAAAAAAAAAAAAAAAAAAAAAAAAAAANAAAAAAAAAAAAAAAAAAAAAACTGAAATTATTTTGTGGCAAGAAAAAAATAAATAAAAGCAGCAATTTCTATTTAACTAATTAAGTTCAACTACATAAGTTTACAATCGACATAAAAAGTTTAGGAGCAAACTTGCAAACATTTTGACTAGGAAAGAGCAAAATTATACCAAATGCTGATATTTAATGATAAGCGAATGGTTATTAGGGAGAAAAACCACATTTTATCTAAATAAAAAGAGGGAATATTTGAATGATAATTTCATAACAAATATTCCTTCTAGCAAATAAGTTAAATGTAAAAAAGAAAACTGTCACCCACTGTACATATAATTCTATCTTTATTAATTACAAAAATCAAAAATCAATTGTTTCGAACTATGAGTTAACATTTTGTCCTGGATGAGAGAGAAATGAACAAAATGATCAAATATGAAATAAAAAGTTTCTTTGTGGTTAAAAGGCATAACATAAAATAAGCAGTTAAAATTCAGTTCTTTTAAATGATTAACATTTACATTGATAATTTAAATATGATTGCATTTTCCAATTAGTATCAACCAATAACTGCACAGATTTGTTTGAAATTTAATTGCCTTATAATCAAATATAAATTTAATAGATTGTTACAGAACATTCTATACTTATTAAGTTTTTATTTCTATTACTATTTAATTATAACCATAGATAGCAATCTTCATAATCAAAAGTAGAAGCAAAATAACTTCCAAAAGATAAATTAAGTTAAAAGATAAACCAATCGACAAAAAATGAAAATGAAATAAATTATATTTAATCTAAGTCCAAAAATATAATTAATTTCACAAAAAAAAATTTACAGTATGGAAGGAATAAACAAAATACACTTAATCTCAAATATAAAAGGATAAACATGAAAAATTATGTATAAACTGCAAAAAAATGGTTATTTTTCAAATTAACTACTAACTTTTCGTAAACCTCTAAATGACATAAAATATAACAAAATTAATTATACTTTTATGCATATAACCTACATTTACAATCGTATCTACAAAGTTCTAATATAATTTTTTTGAAACAAAAAAATTTTATAGAAATTTACATAATAAGCTTTCATTTCTTGAACTCACAAAAGAAATTAAACACTAGTTGATAGTTTAATGAAAATTAATGGTTTCATATTTTCGTTTGAACTAGGGCAATTCCATATGTGACAGAATGACATTTTGACTTGTAAAATAACAATTAATTGAAGTTTCTATGTATCTAATTTCAAATTAAAAAAAAATTTCTCATGCATATCATTATTATTGGCATAATGCGCTTCATAAACTAAAAAAACAGGATTTTCTATCTTTTTTACTTTTAATTTTACGAACTTTTTATTTGCGTGACGGAATGACATTTTGGCATGCCGCTTAGAACTGGTAGCTTCTGCGAATTTTGCAGCTTTTATTTTTCTGAACTATTTTATACTTTTAGTATAATGTGTAAGCAATGCAAAATGTGAATTTGGAAAATTAACCTCAGGTTGGCTAGCAGTTATTAACATCTATTTGCTGTGACGGAATGACAAAAAGTTTAGTAGAAGAAAACCTTCATTTAAAAAATGTTTTATTAATATGTAAATGATAAATAGAATGTAACAGATAAACAGGATTAATATTTATGTAAGAATTAGTAAAAATTTCAACAGTTTGAAAATTAGGTTGTCTCTGAAGAGGTTTTATATCTAACTTGCCAATGTCACATCTTATCTTCGTTCTCAGGAAATTTATGCATTATTAAAACATGTGAAGGAATGACGTAAAAGAAGTTACTTTTATTTTATATATTCAACTTAAAATATTTAAATTTTGTTCTATATGCATATTTTTATCAAAATATTGCAAAAGAAAGATACATTTCTTTTATTTTATAAGTATTTTTCAAGAAAACAATTTGAGCACAAATGTGACCAATTCACTTGTCAGCCATGTGATTACTTTAGAATGCTGCCAGATTCAAAAAATTTAAAATTATCAAAAATGAAACGGCAATATGTAGACTTTTGCTATTTTTGAACATATTTTTAAAATTAAAATATGCAATTCATAAAAAAAAAAAATTCACTTAAAAGTTGACACTTCCGTGGAATTGCCCACTACTATCAGCATTAGATATAGCCATTCTACTAAAAGAATGGCTTTTCCGCCAAAGTAATAAAAATGAGAAAGCTATGGGTATTAACATTAATTTCACAAATTAATATCAAAAATGAATCCAGAACAAAATAAATATAACATTAAGCATTAAACAGAAAATAAAGGAAGATTACAATGTCAGTAGTGTGGCCCCATCCTTCTTCAGGGTCATCAATTTCTGGTGAGATAGGAAGATAGAGAAGAGCAGCAGTATCAGATGATTCTTCGTCGCTAAATAGATTCATTTTAAGAATAAATTGAATTGTTAACTTCACACTGGCAATATTTAGAATCACAGACATGAATTTATGTTATTAGAAAATTGGAAATCAGGTGGCTTTCATACGAGGTATGAAAGGTAAAATCAATAAAAACTTTAAAAGCAATATATAAGTTTAAAAGATATGCCTTTTAATTAAACAGATGAGATCCTGTATAAATATTAATCTGAATTCTATTCATAAATTTAGAGTTGATTTGGAAAAAAAAAGGGAAAAAAAACTTTTATATTTAATTATAAGATCAAATGGCTTATCATAGTTTGGCTTAACATACTGTGATATTAATATACAGTTAGATACTTCGCTAAAATATGATTTAAAAATATTATTTAAAATTGATATTTTGATAAATAATGATATTATAATTGATACTTAATGAGATATTACACACAAAATTTACAGAAATGTTGCATTTAAAACTGCTAAACCATTTATGTCCATTAATATGATATAAAATACGAACAATAATTCTGAGGACTAAATATTAAGAACAGTCGTAACGATTAGACAAACAACATCATATGATGAGTTTTATATGCATCAGTTATATTACAATTATGCACACCATATAAGTTGTTCAAGAAAAACTTATTATAAAATTTCCTTATATTTAATCTTTCAATCTTGTAACTAATGGTGAGTGGGTTAAAATATTACACAGTTTTAATTGCAAATGTAACAAAAGATTTTTAAATATTAAACTTTGATTATACAGACATTGCCTTGTAATTTAATTTAAAATTTCCAATAATTCTCCAATATTATGATCTCACTCAATGTACATAACAAATAAAAGTAAAACAAAATATATTTATTTTTTAATGAATACTTATCACGAAATTAAAACATATATATATATACTATATATATATATACTATAATAAAAATTCAGTCATTTTAATTAAAAAGCATTACTTTAAAGAATAAAAATTTCAGCAATTAACTTCTTTCCTTAGAGTTCAATTCAAAAAACAAAAAGATAAGAAATTCTTAAATCAAAAAATTGGTAAAGAAGTTTCTTCCAATACATTTTGAAGGGCTTTTAGGTTGAAACAAAATCTACAAAAATTCAAATATTTCAAAAGAAGTTGGTTTAGGTAGGGGAAAATATTATTTAATTACTTCTTAAGCTAGCTTTCAAGTTTAATCAAAACTTTCTTAGCTACACAGACCTTAACCGAAAGAATATTTAAGATCTAAGCTTGTTTTAACTTTATTAAAAATTAATAATAATAAAACTAAATTAAATTTGTTGTTCAAAACTTGTTTGTTTGAAATATATATTATTTATTAAAAAAATACCAACTATAATTAATTAATAATAATACTTTTAATAAATAATTTTTTTTTTCTTATAAAGCAGTGAAACTAAGCACTTGTGTCTAGATTCTTCCTCACATAAAATTTGCATTTGACCATCGAAACCATTCCCATTTTTCCAAAAAGAGTGTAGTTTCAGACGCATTCATCCTTTACATTTTAACATTAAAATTAGATTCACTGGCCTAAGGTTAACTGTTTCACCAACCTAATTTAATGTATTTTATGTTAATTCATATTAAATTAAAATATTATCAGAATCAAATTATCATATTGAAAACAGAATATTTTTAAGAGTAATAATACTGCATTATTTTAAGATATAATGCATCTTTAAAAATATACAAGGGTGATTGTGGCCCAACTCAAAAATCCTGAAAATTTCTTGTGTAAAATCATTCGAAAAATTAATATCTTTATAAATTTAAATCATTGAAATTTTCAAAACATGATATTCTAAATGAATTATATGCAGCATACTTTAAATAAATAATTATGTGTAAGTTTACTTTTATCTCTAATCACATTTATTATTCTATCAGAAAAAATATTAACAAATGAAAGAGATGCCAAGTATAAATTCTAGTTCTAATATTTTTAAACTAAATATACAAGAATTTTTATATATAAATGTGATCGATGATTTCTTGAAACTTCGGGACTTTGGACTTCAGTAAACTTTCGGATCGCGGTAAGCCAAAAGTCCGGCCATCCGGATTTTTTCCAGAGCACAATCACCCCTGAATATAGATACAAAATCTAGAATAGCAGTAGCAACACTTTAAAAATTTGCTGCATTAATATTAAATGTCATTATAATTACAATAAAATCATTAATATCTAAAAATTTAGTCATGTATGTATCAAAGAAAAAAATTCTTATTAGACAAAATCCAAATTCAATTTTTTTCCCTATAAGTATTACAATTTTTGAAAAACATTTTACATAAATAAAACATTTTTATGGGTCAAAACAAACAATGTAATTTCAGCAACATTCTTACAAACTGCTTACCTGCTACAAAAAGCGGCAATTGGCTCTATTGTAACAACATCAACAATTTCATCTTCATCCTGCTTTTCAGCATGAAGTTGTGGACTTTTATCCTCATCTTCAATATCAAATTCACTTTCTCTCTCTTCATACTCAACGTTTTCATCAAGTTCCTTAAAATCAGGGGCAAATGCACTCCAATTTTCCTAATTAAATTATAATTATTATTTAAATGTGCAACTTTTTTTAATACAGTGGAAAGTATCATACCTGGAATCGTGAGAATGTCGATACGTTCGGGAAATAGATTTATTTGGGAAATAGGTTTTTAAGGTAAACAAAGTTCAAAACTTACATTATTCAATAATAATAAATAACTGATAATTAACGTCAGTATTTATTTAATGTTTTGTTGTTAGTTAAATAACATTTAATTAAACAAAACTACAAAATAAATCTCACTAATAAATTATTTTAAAAAAAAGTTTACTCCTCTTTTTCTTATGATTTTCACTTATCAGGAAGAGTTAGCAACGTAAATATTCAGATAAAAAAATTACACTTAAAAAAAAAAATTCAATCCTACTTATTAAGAAGAAGAAGAAAAAATCAAACAAGGAATGAATCTGAGTAGATTTTTTTGATAAAAATATTTAAGATTTCAACAAAAACAAAACTTGTCTGCTGCTGTTTCCTTCCACCATTATATATATTCAGATTTATTAAAATTCATAGTGTATTCCTCTCACAGAAGTTTCTTTTTCATTAAAAGTTTTAGTTTTTTTATCATTTCCAAAAGTGCACTGATTAAAGCAGTATAAATATTATCGATTCTAAATGCAATAAAAAGAAGCAAATATATATATACACAAAAATTTTTTCAGACAGAGCATAAAGGTAGAAAAACTATAATTTTTTTTTCCTTGTAAAAAGGAAAAGACATTTGTTTATTTTGATTGGAAGAGTTTCCTGTAATCGAACCTCTGAATATGAGTTTTATGGTCTCACATTACTTATTTATTTTCTACATAAATAAAAACATAGCTAAGAAGCAATGTTAATTAGCAAAAAATATGCACATTAATTAGAAATAAATGTACTTAACTCATAATTCTTATTTTCGAACAAAAGAATTAGTAAGTTAAGCAGAATTTTGCAAAAGGATATGGATTGAACTGTCATGTGATCACAAAATTTTAACTCTTTGGTACAATATAAATCTAAACAGTTTGAACTAATAAAAAGATACTAACCACTTGAGGTTGAGCCCAAATAGAAACTACACCACTAGATATTGACGCAATTATAGGTCGAACTGGGTGCCACTATAAGGAATTAAAAATAAAAAAAGAAGTTGAATTACAGATTGACAATAACAAAAATATATACATATGCATTAATTTATAAAAACTAGAATGAAATATTAAATGAAATTACGACAGACATGCTTTATTATTCATTAAAATTAGGATTTTTAAAAACAGAAAATATAAAATGTAAAAAAATTATACAGTATTAAGTAAAGTGTACTTACAACAAGCATTTTATAAGCAAAAATACATATATATATATACATAAAAATTTCTCAATTTATTTAAATTAACTAGCAAAATTATAGTAATTACATACTTAAATAAAAAATTTATATTTTAATCAAGTCAACAGTTAATTATTATAATAAAATCAACTTATTTTTTTTAAAATAAAATTAACCAGTTATTAAATCAACTGCAAAAAATTATTGCATAAATTAACAACTATAAATTAACTATATGAAGAATTACATTAAATATTTTACATCCAAAACTTTTCTAGGATTACAACTTAAATAAAAGCTATTTTTTCAATGATCAAATAAAGCTTTATTTATGATAGATAGTAACAGTCAATCATATCATCCACTTTTTATTTATAAACATCCTTATATAACATATGTATGGAGAAAAAAAAGTTTAGAAAAATAAAAGATCAAACTCATTATTAGTGATTTATTTTTTCAACTAGAAAGAAAGAACTTTAGAATCTTCATTAAAGAATGATTGTTAATTTAAAATATGCAATGCTCTCCAAATTATTCAAAACTAGTTTTTATTATCTTAGGTTAAGGAATAAAAAATAAAAAGATATATTTCCCTATGTGGGTTTACTATAACTTCATTAAAGTAATAGCTCTGTTTTAAGATTTTAAAGAATCTAAATATTTTTTTAAAAAAATTTATCATGTTTTTTTTTTCTTGTTTAAATAATTTTGATAAACAAATAGTTAATTTTTCAAAGTACCAGACAAAGTGTTAGAAAATTAAGAAAAAAAAGTTCATAATTAAATTTTTAAAAATTTTTCATGCTATCTTTCAAATACAAGACACAGAACAAGTTAATGACTGATTTAATAAGTCAAAACTTAATGATTGAAAAACTTACAACTACATCCAGAAGTAACTCTCCCTTTGTGCCATGAAGAATTTTCACTAAATTTCCAATACTTTTTTCCCAAATATAGAGAGAATGTTGCCGTGCCGATCCGGCACATATATATTCCCCATCACCAGAAAAACAACATTTTTTCCACATAGTTCTGCAAATTAAAAGAATTAATTACTATTTTAATTTATCAGACAAAAAAATAATGAACTAAAATCTTAATTTTTAGAAAACATACTTGTTCACAAGATCTTGTAATTTCTGCATAGGTTCTGGTTCACCATCTTTACCACAAGCAAGAACTTCTCGACTACCATAAACCCTAATAATTCTATCTGCAGCATTAACAAGAAAATAGCTAAAAAAATATATTTATTAAAATGAAACATTTCCTATTGAATCAGAAGCTAAACATCAAAAGTTAAAAGCAAACATAAAAAATAAATAAATATGAAGACATAATTTTGCTTTGAAACAACAAATTGGCAACTAAAACGGGATTTACTGCATACTGAGGTAAGAAGCTAACTAAACAGATCAACAAAAAAGTATAAAATTCCAATTTACTGACATATAGGAACATAATTCTATAAATTTTTAAGTTTTAAAGATAAGAAAATTTGATTTTCACTTATTTACACTTTAAAAATAATTTATTCTACACGTTAATGTAAATTTAACAATATTTCAAGGTTTTATGCCATATATAGAATTATACTTTTACCAAACCGAAATATTTACCAATTCTGCTACAAATAAAAGTTAGATTTGAATATTCTAAAGCAAGATATTATTATTGCAAACTCAAATTTAGAAACACAAACAGGCTTTACTTTTTATTATTATTTTTTTGAAGAAAATAATTTTTTACTACAAATTAAATATTATTTTTATAATACAATTCCGCATTGCTGTCAATTATTCCCAATTTCCCTGATAATTACAAAATTTTGGAAAAAAATTTCTTCGTTTTTTTTTATTTAGCTCACACGTCGCTTAAATTTAAAATTTCTATCTCGGTAAAAATGTTATTTAGCATTATCGCCAATTATGCTTATCACCTTTTAATTGCCTTGATAAATACCAATATTGAAACAAATCTTTATTTTGAAATGAAACTTGATAAATTTTTCTATTTACCTCATGAAGAACACATGGTCCAAATTTGAGAATAAAAATTGAGAATCTATCTCGGTAAAAATGCGTTATTTAGCATTATTACCAGTTAGGCTACTACCTCAATAAACCATGATAATTACAATTATCAAAATGAAACTTACTTCTTTTTCACTTATCTTATAAAGAATGCATGTTTCAAATTTGAGACTTCCATCTTGATAAAAACGTGTTAATTAGCATCATTGTCAATTTTGGGTCAACTACCCGCTAACTACCCAGATATTATAAGATATAGAAATGAAACTTTTTTAGTTTATTAATCTCATAAAAAACTTATGGTCAGAAAATTTAGCTTTCTAGCTAAATTTTGTATGAAAATTAATGGTGAGCAAGTGAGTGGGGGCTTTGCATTTTATATGTAAAGATGTGGATTGCTGAATAACTAACACTGAATATCCTTTTCAACATATAATCTTTGTTCTGTAGTAATTTCAATAGATAAGACTTCAGAAATAATATTATAAATTTTAATGAACTCATAATAACTTTCTTTATCATTTACTTACTCTCCTCTTCTGGCAAATTCAATAGATTTTATAGAGGTAGTATTTGATGTACCAGTTGTAACTCTAAAAGAAGCCTTCAACTTTAATTCAGGCACAGATAAAGCTAAGATCTGAAAACAAGAAATAACAAATTAATTACATTTAAAGAACATAAACTTTTCACTATCAAATAAAAATTATTTGAATGATAAATAATTGGCAATCAAACACAAACACACTATTTTATATTATTATTATATGATTATTATCATTATTAACATAATTAAGGTTTTTTTTTTTCATTCATGCAAGTTTTTTTAGCTTTTACAAAACTTGCATTACTATTACCTTTTAATCAGGTAATGGATAAATAAAAATCTATGACAACAAAAATTCAATCTATAGTCACAACAGTTAAAGTTACAAGTAAAATAAAATTGATTCCTTAGATCAGTTCTGAATTCTATACACAACTGAAATAAAAGCGAATTAACATAATTCAGAGATTCAACTGAATAGGATAACATTAAAAATTGATAATTAAGAAAATTGACAATTTAGAAAAATTGATGATAAGGAGTTAAAAGACAATCAGTTGAAGTTATATAACAATAAATATCACAAATTTTTAATAGACATTAAAGTTTAAAAATAAATTACCTTTCCTTTAGCATTTCCAGTGTATATATGGTGCCCTTTTCTATCAAATGAAGCTACAATATTCAAATCAGACTGGGAAGGGAAAAAATTAAGATCAATTCATATTTTATCATAACACAGATATTAATTCTCCAAAACACAATTGAACTTCTATTTACAAACTTCCATTTTGCGAATTTCTCTATTTTGCGAATTTTTTCGAGGAACCAAGAACATTTTGGAAATTTCTTCGTAATATAACTTCCAAATAGTGAAGTGAATTTTCCATTTAACGAACTTTTCATTGAGATCCACTTTCCCTAACTTATTTTCAGAACAAATATTTCAATATATTTCAGAACATTTCAAACTTGTTAACGCATTTTATGGGGGAAGTGACCTTGAATTAATTTTCGAATCCACTGCTTTATGTAATGTTTTACTGCTTTCTCTAAAAGTTATTTTAGAGGAAGCAGTAAAATCTTTTTCCCTTTTTGTTTGCATTTGAAACGAAAAACTCAGTCCAAATTAACAGATTTTATCAGTAGCAATTAAACTTAAGAACACATGTGGTAATGTTTAAAATTACTTTTGTAAAAAATGCAGCAATAATTTTAGACATAAATTTAGCTTTTTTTTAAATCAAAAATGTATGTAGCATAATAGTGTAACACTGGATAATGTTTTGCTTTATTCTTGCTTTCCATGCAAATTTCTTTTATGGTTAAGATTTATAAAATAAATAGTAGATACTAGTTTATAAGATAAAGGTGCATCAATTGCTACTTTAATTATGCCTAATGCTTATGAATTTAAAACCTATTTTGTGTTGTTCAAGTATTTTAAAAGGTGATTTATCTATTTAACGAGTTTTCCATATAACGAACTTATTATCAGGAATTAGCGACTTCATTAAATAGAGGTCCGACTGTATAATGTACATTGAAAAATGAATAACATATCACTGAATGACTGCAAACTTTTATAACTATACCATTTATCAAAGAAAACACTTAAAAATATTAGGTTAATGAAATACATATTACATTTACTACAGAAAAATTTCATTAATAAATTCTTATTTGCACATGTAAAAGTTATGTGTTTAGTAAAATCACGTAAAACTTGAAAAATAACAAAAACTTCTATTAGTATTAGCCTTTATTCAAGTTAGTATTAGCCTTTTAATTAATTTCCACTTATAATTTTAATCTATGCTATCTTAATGCCATCTTTATTACTAATTAAGATTTTGGAGGCCACTTTTATTTTAGACTCCATCCTGCTTAAAATGAAAATTAGTATATTGCATGTAAAAAAGAAAGAAAAAAAGGGAAAAGAACAATCATTCCTTAAAGTCAGTTAAGGAACAATAATTATTTATCGTTTGAATAATGGCAGCACTAGGGTTGTCCTAAGAAATGAAATTTTGAATTTCTTCAATGGCACACTTTAAAAAGGTGATATCCTGGAAGTTTCAGCTCTAATAAAAATTATATTTAAAACCCACAAGTAAATGTCAAAATTTAAGAAAAGAAAATTTAGAAAAGTAAAAAATAATTTTAAAAAGTTTAAAAAAAAAAAAAGACAGACAATCATAGATACAACTATGTTAAAAATAGCAAATTTAGTTATCAGAGTAAATTTAATGCTTATTGACTTTCAAAATAAAAAAAATACAGAACCAAAAAGTTAAAGGTTATGAAAGCAAAGATTCTAAAGATCGAAAGAGGTAAGCATAATTTTAGTTTAATATTTGTTCTTAAATGACAGTGTAATTTTAAGGACTCTAATAATAACAATAATACTCTAGCCTAGCAATTAATATTACTGCCATATATGTAGTTTAAGCAGAGAATTTAATACACATCAGAAATTTTAACAGTTACTTTTTTTTTTTAACAAAAATAAACTGAAATCAAGAAAAAGTAAAACACATTTCTGTAAATTGCATGCGTAAAAAAGTTAATAAAAATAAACAAACAAAGATCAGTTTTTTAAAGAATAATTTATCTTTTTTTTTCAATAAAATAAACACATAAGCTTAATATTTAACAACAATGAATACAGCATATTATATTAGGTTCAAATACAAAATTTAGTTTAGGGTGACCCAGGGTAATTCATGATCGCTCTGTTTCTGGGGTAAATAATGATCACCGAAGTTTTATTTTAAAAAAAAAATATTATTTTTAAATTTGAGACATGGACAAGAATGCTTCTACACTTTACTAAAGTATAATTACATTTACTTAATAATAGTTTTTTGTTTAATCTAACAAAATAAGTATCTTTTAAAATGCTTTCTGCATTTTCCCTTTCAAAGATGGGTTTAAAAATTTGCACATTTCTGCAAAGATCCCCCTCCTTCTCTTAATAATAAATATTTTGAGTTACTTTCTTTTTCTTTGATATAAAAATAGTGTAAGCTTTTGTTTAATTGTTTCACATCTACTGTAAACATTATAATTGATTATAGGAAACTATATCAAATGTTGCCCCCTACAGATGGGGTAATTATTGATCACTGGGGTAATTCCTGATCATTGTCATTTCTTCTTATAAATAGTTTAAAAAATAGCTAATAAATAGTTAATTTTCTTTTCTTAAATAACAGTTCATATTTATTAAGTGGAACAACTATAAAATATATTTTAACTATAATCACAAAATTTGTTTTTAACTGTATACAAGACAAATGTGTTCTGATATGCACCATTTCTAGCTTGTCTTACCTTGCTTCTATCTTAATTTTATGTGTGTACATTGTTAGAATAATTTTTAAGTTGATAAATTAACCTAATATAAATATGGTGAGAAATTATTAGCTTAAAAAGGATACTAAGCTTCTAGAAAGCAAAAATAGCATATTTCTTTTAATGATTGAAAATGAAAATTTCAGTGTGAGAGCTGCTGCCAGAGCTGAAGTGTTAATCTTTATTCCTGCTTTTAAATAAAACGTTTTAATAGCTGCTTAAAAATATCTTTTTGGTTTATTTGCTTGATCTTAAAGTCTTATTTGTTAATTACCATTGTATAATTATTTTTAAACAGCCCATTTACTATAAAAACTAGTGATCAGTAATTACCCCAGAAATGATCAAGAGAAGGGGTAATTCCTGATCACTAAAAATTTAAAATCGTTTAAATTCTAATTAGACTTTCAAACAAAAGAAGGTAGCATAGGATTCATCACATATAGCCTCAAACTTCCAGTAAATATTGAAATTCTATCTTGAATAGTTTCTTCACAAAATAGATGTTTGCATTTCTTGATCAGGAATCACCCCAGGTCACCTTATAATTAAAGCAGATTATTACTTTACAAAATTTATAATGAAACTATAATAAAGAATACCTCATCATCTAAAGGTACAATTGAGTGAGTTTCATCCACCTGAACCAATATGGCAGCATGTTTCATAGGGCAAACTAATAACAATTTACTGAAATATAGGAATTCAAACTTTAAAACACATTCAAGAACTTGCTCAGGTACATCAAAGTTTTAAAATTTTCAACTTACTCATTTCTAGGATGAAACTGAACTTTAAGAATTGGTGATTGAAATCTATATCTGTAATCACATTCAGCACTGAGAACGTCCCATATGGATACAGTATTATCCGTTGAGGCACTTAGCAATTTATGGCCAGTTCTACTCCAGCTATGGAAATAAATTTTAAAATGTGTGTAGGAAGCAATTTTTAAAAAGAGTTATTGTGAAAAGATGCACATTATTGCATACTTGTACAAAAACCTTTCTTTTAAAAATTATTTATTTTTTTGGACAGAGCTGAAATTTCTAGTGTCGCAATTAACCAGGCTTCGGAGGGAACACAAAAAAGAGCATGCCAAAAATTTAAAAGGCACAGGATGATGAAAATGAACGGTATTGAACGGTTTCATACCTGCCAACAATAGAGAAATGAAATAACAGAGATTTTACAAGTGACATTTTTATGGCTACAAGTAAAGTTTTGATACATCATGCATAATCATGTAAGTCAAAAAGAGAAATTCAAAATTGGAAATAATATAAGTACTTACATTTACCAAGGTAAAAAATATGTATATAAATCTTAATCTAAAGAAGATTTTTTCAAGCCATTATTTATAATTACTTAAAATATTTTATTTCATTACTGTCATTGAACATTCAACACAATTTTGGGTTTATGACTACCAATGTTCAACTCTGTAATCTTGTAATTTTGAACCCAATCCAAAAGACAAGAAAACTACAAGAAAGTATTAGGCAAAATTTGCTTTTGTGGAGGACTTTTAGATGGAACTAACCCACATTTGTGTTGCATGGAGAGGAAAACCACGAAAAATTACCACTGTAAATTTGACGGCAAGGGAACTCTAACCCGAGATCCGTCTACCACTGAGGATATTTTACATCAGCACTGTGGTGGATGCAAGTTGGATGTGGAATTCACACCGACCAGTCATAGTTGGGATTCGAACCCAGTTCACCTCATTGGAAGGTGAACACTATCTCTTGAACAATCACGGCTCGACTTCGTTAAAAAACAGGTTTGTTAGAATTCAGATTCTTCGTCAAAAAACAGGAGACTTGGCAGGTATGTAGTTAGCAAGAAGCAAGAGTAGCAGCAGGTGAAAGGGGAGAGAGAATAATACGTGTCAATAGGCATGAAAAGAGATGATGAATATGAAAACAAACAAGAAATGTATTTCAAATGAAATATTAACACATTGTCCTATGTAGAGACTCAACTATCAAAGCTCTTACTAACATATATGAATAGTTCTACTCTTATTCGAAAAATGAAATCCATTAAGAAATAATTTTTTAAAAGGTAAGAGCAAATCTAACTCAGAGTTTATTCATTCAAAATTATTCATAACTGAATTAATTAGTCAAAAAATTAGCAAACATTAAGTGACTCAAATGGCAATCTCATAATTTTATAATAATAATATTAAAAATAAAGAAGGATGCTATTATTTCTTACCTTAAGGAACAGACAGGATGGATATGGGCACAGATGATCTTAGCTATTCCACGAGTTAAAAAATCCCACAAAACTATTCGTCCATCATTACAACCTACTGCAAGCAGTGTGCCATGTTTGTTGAAAGCGCATGTTACTGCAAGACTGATGCAATCCAAGGATCCATCAAATTCCTAAAATCAAACAAAATTTCAGCCTTTATAAAATAAAAACATGTTAACCAAAAAAATCAAATTACATTGGAGTTACATTAAAAAATAATGATAAAATAATGAAGATAAATAAATAATGAAGATTAATGAAGATGATAAAAAATAATGAAGATAATGAATTAAAAATAAACTATAATTACAGCAAACATTTTTCGTCAGGGATAAGTGTTTTAAGATTTTTCAGGGGTTAAAAAAAAACTTTTAGCAAAATAGTAAGAGCTAGGGAGCCCCCTCCCCCCCCCCCCAAAAAAAATTATNTTTTTTTTTTTCAAATTTATTAGTTCAAGAAGAACCAGACTTAGGTAAAGGGAAAAACTTTCGGCAAACGCAAAATCTCAATTGAAAAACTTTCTGCACACATCGATCAACTCTTGTAACTAGTTTCAACCCTTTCGTAGCCACCTTATTTTAGCTAAATTTGTATGAAAATCACATATTGTTTTTTTTCCAAATGCTTAATACTTATAGGACTCTATACTGATTCATTCATACCACAGGGATATGTTCAGTAAAACCAAAAAAGTAGAAAATAGAAATTCACACATGTTATGTGTAAAACACTTTTTAAGTAATTAAAAAAACTAACTCAAATTTGAGCAAGAAAAAAGTGTATGCAGGAAGCAGTTACCCACAGAATGTTATCAACATTTTAATAAAAATATTAATGTGATTTACATTATGTGAATATAAATCTCAATGTGAGATTGTGAAATTAAGCGAGTATAAAATATCTACATTTAGTTTAAAAATCATGTGAATATGAATCTCGATATTTGATAATAAAACTGCATTTATACGAATCTCGATGTTTGATTTTAAAATCACAGAAATATGAATCTCGATATTTTATTTTTAAATCAGGTGAATATGAATTCCAATGCATTATTTTTAAGTTACTTAAACAGGAATCACATTAGTAGCTTTCAAATCACTAGAATATAAAATGCAGTATTCGATATAAAATAGTGAAAATACAAAACAGGATCCTAATTCATGTAAATACAATTTTAAATTGTGTTAGTATTGATAGGAAAAAGAGTAAACATTACTGTTTTTTCTCTCATTAATTTGAAAAATACAAACTTTTTTTTGAAGAGGATTTTTTTCCCTTTTTAGCAATAGTAAAAAATTTTCCACGATGGTGAAATTTTCAGCAGAAATTTCCTTTCATTGACAGATGCAAAAGTTGTGACAAGCAGCACTAATCAGAAAAATAAATGGTAAGAAAGAAAAAATCTCCTCAGCAAGGAACTAGTTGATGTAGCAGCAAGACTGTTATGTTAATTTCAACTATCAGTGCTTGCTGAACAGAGCATACATTAGCAATTATAAGTTTCTTACAATTTGTAGCAAGTTTACAAATTAATTTCACATTCCGTGTGTTTTTGAAAAGTAATATAACATGAACAATAAAGATTGAAACAAAACCTTAGGGCCATTCCATGGAGCTGAGTGTGACAGGCATAGACAAATAAGACGTTACATCTATATTTTGAGCAATAAATCAGACATTTTTCAATTATGTTTATCGATACCTGCATTTCAATAATTGAGTAGAGATAAAACTGCAAAAGCTTCCAATTTTCTTTTTTTTTAATTTTATAATCTTGTGATAAGTATGACTCATTTGGGATATGGTTTTCACTTAAGTACAGATTTGTAAAAATTCCCGCAAATGTGAATGTTGCAAAGTTTTATTGGTGGAAATTTATTTTTCTGTTAGAAGACTTTCATATAAAACATAATTATCATGATTTGAATTAATCTTTCAATGCAGAATTTTTTTCTTCTTGCTGTGACGAGTGTGATAAAGATGTGATTAGTGTGACATTTTGCAAGGTTTACAACCTGAGCAGTTATTTCGTAATTATTTATAGAATCACTTGAGAATCGCTTCTTGAGAAACTGCACTATGGCTCACAATGACAAATCAAGCTGTAATACTACTTCACTGTTCCCAATATCATTGTTAACCCATTTAGAATAACTCAATTGAGTGTCTTTCAAAACACAAAGTAGTCCTGTTTCAGCAAGTTTCACAAAAGAATTAATCACTATTCTTTTTAAAAATCCATTTATTTTTTTCTTTCTACTACTTATGTATTTAGTTTTTATATTTATAGTCATATACATTTACAAATATTGAAAAAGAATATAGTAAATGAAACACAGAAAAATTTAAATGATGAAAAATGAGAATAATGAAATTAGAGAAAAATTATGAAAAAGAAAATTGCTTAAAATGAATAAAAACTTCCTTTTTGCTTTGTTCGAAAATGCATGTAGTACAAGAAGTTCGTACAAGTGTAGTACAAGAAATGCATGTAGAATAAAATTCTCTTGTTTTTTTTTTATTATTAAATTTTGATGTGCTGCTTTCTTATTAATGCTTATAGTAGCCTGATTTATGACTCTCACAACTCTCTATTCGTAACTGGGTACTTGCACTTCTAGAAGAAAAGTATCACCTATGACCTCAGCACCAGCTGATCGTTAATAAGAAAAATGGCATGTTAAAGTTGAGTTAAGTAAGAATGTTAATTAATGTAAAGTAAATTAAATACAGTGCTGTATCGCGCATCAAATTTATTGAAATATAGTTCTTTCTTGGATTTATTATTTAGGTATTTTATTGATACTGTGATACACTTTTTGTTTTGTGTACCTGGCAACTTTATTGCATAATTACTTTATATTCCACATGTACTTCTTATGTTCTTCATGCATGCATTTGTGTTAAATAAGAAACATATAGTGAAAGAATTAAAATCTTTGTGAAAGAATCTTTGTGAAGGATTAAAGAATGCATCACTTAAGAGAATTGATATTTGATGGGCTTAGCTCAATTGAAATAGAATGGAAAGACCAGTTGCTAATGTAAACAAATGTCACATTTAAACAACCAATCAGGATCGAGATACCCACACTACCACACTCGCAGGTATCCCATTATGGTGCTGGAGATCAATTAAATTTTTTAAAGTAATTTAAATATATTATAGTACATTTGAAAAATCAAAAAGTATTTAACCTTTCACTTTATTTAGGATATATATAGATATAAAATACTAATTATTTAAAGTGTTGTCACAGCCGTCACAACACTTTGATCATACCCCACACACAAAATATATAAAATATATTTTGCGTGTTATATTTATAAAAAATTGTAAATTGGTTTTTTTTTTAATTATTTCATATTTATTCAGACATGCAAGAATAATTGAGGATAATTATATAATGGTCGTGTAGAAAAACAGAATGCTTACCTCTGGATAATTCTGCCCAAAAGATTCTAAAACAAAAAACCAAAATTTTTAGTATTTTTTTAGTATTAAAAAATTTTAAAGTAAAATAAAATACAAGTTAGCTAGAATTTATAAGAGTACTAAAGAATTGTGTCAGAATTTATTTGTAATTTTCGGAGAAAAAATAACCCTGCGTTTTCCCAGATTTAGAGCAATAATTTTAAAAAATAATGCATGCTCAAAAAATTAACATGCACATAGGCATTTATATCAATATATAATCATTATCATTCTTAGATACTATTTGGTTGGCAAAATAACGATATTCCCACGTCCACATATTAACACCCTTATATATAATAATATGTTACTAATAATATATGTTACCTAAATATGTTACTGAGTTTTAAACAAATGCTGAATGTTGATGAACAAACAGCCTCGGCAATTTCTAGGCATCGGCCCACGAGAAACTCAAAAAAGTATCACAGCAAGGGACCATCTCAAAACATATAACTTATAGCTAACTCCCGGGCAAACATCTACATGTTTGTTTGTGTATTTAAAATTGCTAATTTAAAATCTATTTAGCAACTTGGTGATTGTAGTTAGCGCAACAGATCACAATACAGAAAGATCCCAGTATGAATATGGAAATATCCTGAAATTTATAACAAAAAAATTTATCATAATCTGACAGTTTCCGCCAGCCATTATGGCCTTTGTATTAAACTTGTAAGAAAAAACAGACTTTATGGCTTTTCTTGAAGTACTAATTACCATTTACTATTCCTAAAAATAACCAATAGAATTATAAACAAAACGTTACAGTAATTTTTTAAGCTTTATTTGAAACCTAAAATAAGCTCATCTTTTTTTAATAATTCTAAAATAGTGCAATTATTGAACACAATTAACAAATACAAACCCTTATTTCTTTAAGAAACTCTTATAACTCAAAATGATCTATATAAATTCGTTAACATATGCAAAAACAATGGAATTCCAAGTAAATAATTGCAACTCACATCACTTTATACCTTTTTACTAAAATATAATTGTAGAAAGAAGTAAAAGAAGAAAAAATCATAAATGAAACCGAAATATTTCTACAGTGTTTTAACATTTCAAGCAAATTAACCACTTGAGTATTTGAACAGTAAAAAATTAAATAACAAAACATCTAAATTATAACATAAATAAAACTTAAATAACTGCAACATTCATAAATTTTTGCTCTCAACAAGAAATATAAGGAAAAGTCATGTACCTAAAAGTTCCAGATTCATGCTGACAATTATTATATGTAATGTTATTACAATACTTTTTTCAAATATTATCTATATTGACACATCAATTTAAATAAATATGTGTCTTTTTAAAGAAAGTTACTCATAAATCGGTATGAGAAAAAAATATCAGAAACCTAGTGAAACAATAATTATTATCATTTCACGATTGCATCTTCATTAATTGTCATGATATTCTTAAACTTGTAATCTTAAAGCTTTCCCATATGAAAAGAAATTCATAAACTTTCGAAATTACTTTTGAAACTTAAAAATAAACAAACATTGAGCTTAAACTTATGAGTTACAGTTAAAGTTTGATATTTTTTGGCAATTCAAGTCATGTGACAAGGGATAATTTTCATGGTAGAGAGCGCTAATATCGGTTGCCGAAGGACGTTCGCGGGCAAAGTCGAAATAAAAATTAGGCCAAAACAACGTTCCAAATTAACGATTTNTCTAGACTCCATGGTTCGTGGGCAAAGTCGAAATAAAAATTAGGCCAAAACAACGTTCCAAATTAACGATTTCAGTGAAAATAAAGCATTGAAAACACAGCAGTCTATCTAAAAAAAAAATAATATATGACAGTCTATAATAGTAAAAAAAAAATTGCTGAAACTGAATTTTTGTAAACGATATTTCCTTAATATTTACCATGCTCAAATAATAGAAGATATATTTTATGAACTGTAAAAAGTTTGAGTTTATACTTTTATTTACATTCATGTTTTGATAAAAAAACAAACTATACTAATCTAAGTATGAATAATAATAAATGAAGAAAAATTGAAATTATTTCAGCTTTATTTATTGTTTCGATTTATGTTTTTCAGTTCCGGGCATCATTTTGTAAAGTTTTTCGGAACTGATTTAAGGACTATTTACTTTTTGTTTTCAAACCGTATGAAAAACGAGTATTCAGCTTAGTTAGTTTACAGGGTGATTCTAAAAAGATGGGCAAAATTTTAGGAAGTGATAGTACGCACCCAAGCAAACAATTTTTATCAAAGAATGCATGGTCGAAAACAAAATGCAAATGTGCTGGCGCATTTGGAAAGTTGTTTGATGCAAGCGTGAAAGCTCCATTTCTGTTGCGAGTTACTGCGCTGCGTCTTGTCGCCAAACTTTCGGCCGCTGCAGGGAAAGTTCGTGATATGCCTGGTGTGTTTCAGAATGTTCGCAGCCGCTTCCGGCCACTGTTTTGAACACTTATTGTAATCACATGCCATTAAATTTGCTTGTATAACTTAACTTCATCGATCTTTGTGTGTTTTTGCCTCACACAAGTACATAAACTTTGACGCCCTCTAGCGGTTTTGCGTTTTGTTTTCGACCATGCATTCTTGGATAAAAATTGTTTGCTTGGGTGTGTACTATCACTTCCTAAAATTTTGCCCATCTTTTTAGAATCACCCTGTATAACAGAATCGTGCATAGATGGAAAATTTCTGTGCATTTTTCCCACTGACTCAATGCTAGGAGAATTAAAAGAGGAGATAAAAAAAATTATAAAAATAATGTAAAACTTTTATAAAATTAAAAATATAATATAAAAAAATTAAAAAATTTTAATGAAAATTAGACGAAAAAACAATGAAAAGATATAATCTCGTGATCAACTCATAATATTTTATCCACAAAAATGGCATTTTCCTTTATTATATAAACATGGTCGAAGCAAAATACTTTAATACAATAATGTAAAGAAGTACAAAAGGAAAAAAAAGAAGAAGAAAAAAAGCAATTTGTTAAACAAACAAAATTTTATCAAGAAAAAATTGTATCAAGGATGCCACGTACTTATGAACAACTTGCAAAAAAGGAGGTTATGAACCACATTTGATATGTTTGCATGAAAGAAAGAAGAACCGATTTGAAGAATTTTTTTATCAAGCAAAAATCATAAAAATTCAAGAAAAATTGAAAGTAATACTCAAATGGGACATATAGATCGAGAATAGAGAGAGAGGATGCCGTAAATTTACTAACGACTCGCAGAAAAAGAAGTTATGTACCGAATTTGATTTGTTTGTGACCTTGGATTGGTTCGAAAACTGGTTTTGCGCAAGGTAACAATATATTTCACAGAATAACTCAAAGTTTATGAATAATAAAAGGTTGAAATTGAAATACAACATTTTAATTTGATGATTTTTAAAGAAAATGTTAAGATTTATTGAATATTAGACTTTATTGGTTAGTTTCTTTGTTAATTTTTCTTTTACTTTATTTATTTTTTCAATTTTGTTTTCTCCATTAAAGTTTTATTAAAATTGTAACGTTACATGTGATACTAGGGAAATTTATTTCACAAATCTGCACTACGAACTGTTAAATTTTTGAACATAAATGTTTTTTTTTCTTTTGTAAGTAAATTTTTTAATCAGATAACAGTACCTTTTCGTTGTAATGAGGCTAGTCTAAGGCTACTATGCTAGGATACTATACTAGTCTAATTCAGGGACTCTAGGCTAGTCAAATATCAAGTTTTTTCGGTGAAATCATGACAACATTAAGAGATCAACGTTGAGTGGAAATTCTTTAAATATTTTTAAAAATTTCCCCCACGAAACTCATAGGATTTGGACATTAATATGTTTTACAAGAGCCATTCTTTAAATTGGTGTCCCACACTTCGACTTTACGGTCGGATCTAGAAATAGATGACGAGACTCTAGAATTTTTTTTTGGTGATATTACTAAAGACAATGAGGAATTAATTTATCTACGTAAACTATTGTTTTCTTTCTTTTTTTTTCTTTTTTTTTTTCTTTTTTTTTTTTGACGTTACTATGCTCTACGCTTTTCATTTGGTAAAATGGTAGTTTTTGAAAATACATCCGATGGAAATTATTTGTTGTGATTGAATGATGAACAGGAGCCTACAGGAAAACAAGTTTATGATCTGTAGAGAAACCATAAAAAACATCATTCTATGACGATTAGTCTGTGATGTTTGAAGATGTTTCTCCATGTATATGATTCACTAACTGTAAATTAGATTTTTTCCCTTCAATATTCTGATCAATGTCTTCATGATGAATATGCTGTCCATACCCATATTATCGAGTTCACAACAGCAAAATTCATTGAGCCAGAAGAATATGTGGCTATTTTATGAGCACTTTCACGCCTTATTACATCTGGATTGGCCTGCAGCATCACTTGACTTGAATTAGACACCGCGCGAAGATGATTTGAGAGTCACCATGGTACAGCAAGTAAAACGGCGAAATCAGCATCTCCCAATTTGGTAAATTTGAGGATGAAATATTCATTTAGTAGCATATATATTGTATACAGCATGCCCCTAAAATCTTGTTGACTCACTTCCGAATTGATGTTATCAAGTTTAGAGACAGAGTTACACAATGTTAAATTATGTTATTCATCATTTCTTGACCGTTATCTAATTTTTTGCCCGATGCTTTTATTTGAGGCTTTTTATTTTTCAGACGAACTAAGACTCTAAAATGTTAAGAATCCCATCTTTCACCTGTTAACACGTTTGAAATGGTCAATTCAAACGTATCATAGTATCTGGTTTTTGACTTACCTTATAGAACTAAAGACGATTAAACGTATATAAGAGGAATTTGCAAGAGATTCTAGTTAAAATATTATCGTAATTATAGGTTAAAAATTCTTTTAATGAAATTTACCCAAGTAGCACAGGGATATTGTAACAGCTTTAGTCTACATCGACCAACATTTTCAATATTGGCGAAAATCGACATTGTGTGTACGATATTGTACGATTCCCGTCGATTTCACATTAAAAGTCTGTTTGTAAAACTTTTCATTTTTAACTTTATTGTGTTCTTAAATCAAAATTAATCATTTAAAAGACAAAAAATGACATCAAATTTTTATAATTCCAAAAAGTAAATTTGAAATATAAATTTAGTAGTATTTGTAAATGCTGAGAGATATCGACCGACGTTCCCCAACGTTTATACAATATCGAACAATATTGTTTCGCGATATTGAATATACGTTATAAAAGGGGTCCATTTTTATATAGTACAATGCTACGATATTGTACAATGTTCAAGGCTAAGTTTTTACGATATCGTTTTTGTGAATCGTGTTACTTGGGTATATGCTTTGATTATTTTATTTATTTAATTATTATTTTTCATTTCACTTCTTTTATTTCACTTTTTTATTTCCTTTTGTGCAATAAACAAAGATCTTGAAACATTATTTTTAGAAATTTCTAAACGAGGATAAAATGAATTTCTTCTTCTTCACTGGTGTGACAGCCCTTTGTGCATTCCTTCGTTTCGTTAGGAGTTTCCTCCAACTGTCCTTCTGTTTGGCTATTGTCCTTCTGTTTTTGATTTTCAAAGTATTGATGTCCTTCTGAGCACTGTCGACCCACCTAAAACATAATCTCTTCGTCTTATTCCCATAGGTTTTAATAAAAATATTTTCTTATAGTTTCGTCTTCCTTCATTTTGATTAAATCCCCTGCCCATGTTTTTGTATTTTTATATACTTGACATAGGCTCCCTTAGGATTTTAAACATCTCTGAGTTGTTCTACTTCTCCACCAACCTTTTTACCTGAGTTCTACCACAGTTACCTAGTAGTACTCTTCTTTCGAAAATTGCAATCGAAGTCAATAACTAGGTCACGAAAGCATAAACGAACCGCACTGAAACTGATTTAAACAACTAAATTTCAAATTTGATAGATTTCTCTTCACTGATTTTCTTACCGTCATCGCTAATATCATAGGTACATTTTTCAATTGTTAAACATATACTTACACAGATATTTGGTACATGTATTATTAATAATGTTATTATCAATATTATTATTTGAAACAATGAATTTGGTTTAGAAAAAAAAGCTTTTTTTTTTATTCTCTGTAATGCGGCACCAATAATAAATGAAAAATAAATTGGTAATACAACAGTGAATTCCAACCAAAATATTTATATGAAATACGATACAATTCAGAAACATAACATGTGTGATTATGTAGAATATAGTGTAAACATCTAATGTATTATAAGAGTAATATTAAAATAAAAATTGAAGATATTTGCATCATTTAAAAAAAAGCAAGTTAACTTAAGATTTAAAAAAAAGGAGTGATTGCCATAATTAGAAAAGTGTATTTAATTTTTTTTTCTGACTAATTCAAAATTTTAATAATTTTTAAAGATATATATCTTTTGTATTTTTAAATTATTTATTATTTTTTGTCCATGATTCTCGAAATAACTAATGATTTTTTTAAAATATAATTCTAGAAACTTATTTGTCATGATCTGAAAAAGAATATCTGGGATATAAATAACAAGGCTTCAATCCC